CCAAAACTCCTGACCTACACACCAAAAACGACAAAACACAAAAGAAAACCGGAAAAACAAACGAAAAACACCTAAAGACTTAAGATGAAGGAAAACACATAATAAAACACGAAACGGACTAAAAACTAAAGAAACGACCTAAAATGGGGGAAAAAGAAAGATAAAATAAACACGAAAAACGCAACAAAAATGAGACAAACAACGAGTAATGAGTATTGAGAAACCACTCTAGGAAACTTGGATGACCTCTAATGTTAAACCTAGAGAATGTCGTCCTAATGTCTTAGTCTTGTTAGGAAAAAGCAAACTCCCTAAGTAATAATAAAAAAAAAAGGGAAAGAAAGTCAAGTACTTAATTTGCATAGCATCTTGAGCATGTGGGTGTTGTATGGAGTGTTGATGGGAATGACTAATTCTATGCTAATTTCATATAGATGGCGCGGTATTCGAGTTATTTGTGTGCTCGAGAATGTGATCGATTATTTGAGCCATTTTATCTTTATATGTGTCCTTTCCTTGATACCTTTGTAATCCCAGAAGTCCTCTTGATTTATAATTCACGATCTTTGATTGTTTTAGAGTACGAATAGACGATAAGCAAGCTTAAGTGATGCATGATGATCGACCAATTTGAGCGAACCTATTTCATATTCATGCAAGAAACTGAGTGAGGCATATACATATGATATTTCCGTGCTTGAGAGGTTGTCTTTTCAAAGCATAGCATACGAGTTGTAATTAAGGTGTGCTATATTGGTCATTGGAAGTCTCCTTGGCTAAGTTGATTAATTTGAGACTTGTCTTATTTTAAAATGTTATCCATGCTCGTTTTCTTGTTTTCGTTTCTTTTCGTGTCTTTTTGTTCGGGACGGACAAAAGTTTTAGTGTGGGGGAGTTGTTTATCCCATTTTTGTTACATTTTTTCTTCTTATTTTTCATTTCTTTTTTCCCCCGTTTTAGGTCTTTCGTTAGTTTTTATTCGTTTTTATAATTTATTGTGCGTCTTGTTCTATTCTGGTTTTCTATTTGTTTCTCGAGTATTTTTCTAGTTTTTCTCGTCTTTGGTGTGCAGGATGGACGGGTAAGGAGGATTTAATTTTCATGATAATTTGACCGGGTGAACACAATTGCATAGAATTACTCGTTGGCAACACACAGGAGAAAACGGAATCGAATTCCGAGTCTAGACGAGTCCGAACGTACCCAAGACGCGAAGTGGTGTAACTAGGCACGGGCCCAGGCTGCCGCGCCTGCCCGCTGCGCCGCGATGCATGTCACGGGCAGACAGAGACTCCTAGCCGATCCACCTGCCAAGCCGCAAGGTCGCCGCGCCTCGCTGTTTCGTCGCGCCGCGACACACAGACGCTGCACGCCATGGCCCTTCACGCGGGACCTCCCACGCCTGTCCAGAGAACGCAGCGCCCTGTCTTGCCGCGCCGCGAGATCCTGCCACGCCGCGCCAGACGAGTCCATCACGCCGTGCCTCAAAACCTCGTGTCGTGTCGCCCCTCTACTATGTATATTGGATCGGGATTCGATCGAGAGATCATCTCTAATTCGACGAACATAGAAAATCCTACCCGTCTCTCTTTCTCTCGTTCTTTTCATTTTTCTTCATCTTTTTCAACGTAGAACACGGATTTAAACTTGGATTTCAGTATTGTTTTCGGATTCAAGCTTGTTTATCAGATTCAACTTCGGGATTTATCAATCGTATGATTTCTCTTTTAACTTTATCGTTAAATATGAGTTCTTTGATTGAGATTATTGTTGATGTTGAATTGATTATGAGTAGCTAAATCCTTATGCTAGGGATAGGGGATTGATGTTTTGAAATCGTTTGCAATTATCATATTCGTGATTGTTCTTTTTGTACGAGTTGATCTTTTTCTAGGGTTTTTCAATTGTTGGGCTCGAGTATTGAGAATTGTTGAAGGGTGACACTTCAATCCCCAATTGTTTTCAATTGAGTTTGATATATTCTTGCTTGATGTTGGTTATTCTAAACGGACTAGTTGATTAAACGCCTTTTAGCCCTCTTTAATTGACTCTTAGAACCGAAAGGGGAGGAGTCGGTTGAAATAGGCTCGTATAAACTAGGCTTGTTCGTAATTGTATTGCCTAGGTGTTAAGTGACTTTTTAACTTGTCGTTTAAGTTTGTTCTCTTGTTACGAAAAGTTATTGAGAATGGGTACTTGAACGAGCCGGTTAGTCAAATCACTTAACCGAACAATCTCTTGCTTGATAATTGCATTTTCGAACCAAAACTGATATCCCCGACTCCCTAGCTTCTTAAATCTTGCTTGTTCTACGTGTTAGCTTGGCATTTCATTTTTGCGTTATTTAAATTCTAGTAGTCGATAATTTGAAACCAAACCAATCATTTGAATTAGCATGTTCAGGAATTTTATTTCTTCTATTGGTGTTTGAATAAACGTGCATAATAATCCGGCTAACCTTCCTCGACAGACACGACCCAGTGTTCGAATCTGTCGATTCTACTCCGGAAAAATATTTACAACAGTAATAAAAATTGGTATGTATTCGTTTAAAAATGATATTTATTTCAAATTTAATTGGTATGCTGTCAATGTAATAAAAATAAATAATTATTTATATAAATTCTAAAATTACATATAAAGTTAAAAAACTGTGAAGCACGATTGATATGACACTTGATGTATTAGGCATCTAGTTAAGTAACAAAATTAATCTATTTTGCTTAATATTAAAAAAAACATATTCTACACTTATGCATATGCATATCACCATATTATTTCTATTTATTTAAGATATATATTTTTGTACTTATGTAATAGTAAATAATATCGACATTTTTTATATGATATAAGTACAAAAATTCAACATGGGTTGACATTTTCATTTAATGTACGAGCGTTTAATTATTATGATTAAAAAAATATAATTTGACAATTTAATTAAAACCCAAAGTAATGTTTTATATAAAATTAAATTATTTTAGTTTTTAAAAAAATAAAAAATTTAATATTTTTTACAAAAAGCTTTCTAATTCAACACCCGTGTAATACACGGGTATTGTACTAGTGTGCATATTATTTTACTTTACAAATTTTGTGTCTTGTCCATATTATTCTCTTATGTGTTTTAAATTAATATATTAGAAATAAAACTAATGATGTATATAAATTAATTTTCAGAATTTAAAATAATATTGTTAATTTACTTAGTTCTTTATTTTAAATTGTTATATATTATTCCTTATTTATTTTTTTCAACTTAAAAAAACATATAAATATTTTTTTCTTTCATTTTTTGTTGTAGACTTAATTAGTTTATCAAACACCTGTGTAGTATACGGTATTGTACTAGAGTATAATTACTAGTCCATATATAATTGTACAAATTATTTTTTATAGACTAGCTCGTAAATCATAAATTTAAACAATTAATAAATAATATTATAACAAGAACTATTTTATACTCCATCCATTTAAAATCTTTTTTTATCTATATAAATGTTTTTACTAGTACATCACACGTGTATTATACGAGTGAGGGGTGCTAGTTAA